TGATTTTAAGAAAATTGATAGTAAAGTAGTTAGAATGAACCGAAAATTCTGAAAATCAATAGGGTTCTAAGTTAGAAATAATTATTCAAGAAATCAAAACTGCAAGTCAATCAGAGTTATCGTGCCGGCATACATACACACAGACGAACATTTTTTTATACATTTTCGGACTCGGAATGATCGGAAACGTGAAAAAAGTTTATTAGAAAATGGGGGTAAGAAAATTTTTTCGTCTGCATGAATGCAATACTGAGGCCCCATAGGAAGGGCCTCAGTAATTTAGGTAGGTTTACAATTTGTGCGTTTTGACACACCCTATATACAACATAGCAAATGAATAAAGTCAATTAAAATTGTTTGACAAAGTGAAAACAATCAAATATGTATAACTACCTGCAGGGTGTTTAAAAAGTATAGGTTTGGTCAGCACCTCGTTTATGGACCACCCTGTATATTTCATACAACTTTTATATTAAAAATTTCTTCGTATTCCCAATAATAAAACAAAAATTTCTCTCAAATATATATGTTTGAGTGTTTACACTGGACTAAACAACTGTCAGACATAAATCTCATGCAATAAATGTCAGATGTAAATGTACCTTTAGGTTTTTTTTAAACAACCTTGGCACATGTTTAGGCTACTTCTCAAACATGTTACAAATATTGGGTTAATCCAGTTTCCTATTTTGTTTTACCTTTGAAGGTTTTTGTGGAATATATTTCACATTCTATTAATTAAATATCATTTTACCGTTTGCTTTTTATACTTTTATCAATAAGTTTTTTCTGTTTATTTGTAGATGGAATTTAAAAACATCAACTGTATAGGTTTATCAGAAGACTACAAGCCGGTCAGAAAATTGCATGATTTGCGTTAGAAGAACCTATAAAAAAGCAAAAATCGTTAAAACTAAATATGGATAAAGCGTGCTAATCAAACTAGAAGATTGTAAGGTCTCCTTGCCATCGAGAGTGACGACGATTTTCACAAAAACAGCCATTAAAGAGCTTCAAACAGATGTTTACAAGGTGGTGTTCAAGGGGACGAAGGACATTGGGAAGGAACATCCGCTAAACAAATTCGAAATTATAAAAAGTTAAAAAAATTTAATAGAGAGAAAGTAAGTAGATATTTTTGTTAAATCACCCACTACACAGAAAAAATCGTTTCCAAAATTATAAAAAAATTCAAATAACTTTTTAACAATTACAAAAAAAAAACAGGAAAATGTTATTTTATAAATTTTGCTAGAGATGTACAAATTTGGTTAAAACGTTTAAATAAACAAATTAGAGTGTACATTATTAAAACTGCAAGCTAATGTTGGGAACTTCAAACATTTAAAAAAAATTATTATTTAAACTAGACATATAGGAATGGGGTTTAACTAAAATTAAAATATAGAATTAAATGGGAAAACAGTATCATCTTTTTCATGTCGAATTAAAATAGGAATAATAATGAATTTGCGTCATAAGGATACTTTTTCAGTGATTGTATAATTATGTTTAAAAATAAAATTATTAAAACTTTAAAAGAATTTTCTGTACTTAAACTAAATACAACATTCTGTGGAGAATTTATAAAAAGGTCTGGAGATAATGAAATTTTTATCTTAAATATTTTAATACCAAAAATGCTATTATAGACGCAACAACTGATATACGATGTTGGTTTGCAGAAAATTAAAATTGTCTGAATTTCAAGAAAAGGATTCAGGATATGAATTAAACAAATTCATTAGAAGTTAATATTAATTAATAAATTTGAAATGGGCAATGGTTCATCTTTCATTAAACTACCTGAACAAATTTTAAAAAAACGGGCTTGCATTAACATTAAAAATTTGGACCATGTCTGTTTTTATTGGGCTATTGTTAGTGCTCTTTATCCTGCTCATACTAATTTCACCTCGACTTATTCATATTCACATTAAAGTTCTGTACTACATACAGAAAACTTAGACGCACCTATGACATTACATCAAATTTCCAAATTTGAATTTAAATAATTATAAAATGAGTGCTCCTAAGTTCAGTCATATTGAGTGTTGTAATTTTACATATAAACAAACAACTCCTTCTATTATATAAGCTGATTTCGAATGTCAATTAAAAATTTTTGTAAAAACAGCAAAATATCAAAAACATACCATATAGTGCAGGTTTTTATGTGAAATGTTCGTATGATGATAATCTTTCTATTTTCAAAAGCTACTGTAGAACTAATTGTATGGATTGGTTTGTAAATCAAATAATTCAAGATTAAAAATTTGTTAATTCTAAAATAAAAACAATAATGTCTATAATTAAAAAACCAAATACTAATAATGGAAAAATATGTCATATCTGTGAACAACCTTCTACTGAAGACGATATCGTTGTCAGAGACCATGATCACTTTACAGGAAAATTTAGAAATTATTCACACCAAACATAATCTTAACTTTCGAAAATTGTTGTATTTCATAATTTAAGTGGGTATGATTAAAAATTTATGTAGAAAAAAATACGTTTCATAGATTTGTAATGATTTCAATGTTTTGAATAAAGCGATGGCTTCTAACTAATTGTGATCTTTATTAAAGCTACATAAGCTTTCGAACATCATAAAATACAAGTTATTATCATTAATCAAGATTGACCGATGATCTGTTGACACTGACTGAAGACAATCATTGTTACCAACCTGGGGTACCAAGGTGACAACCTAAGATCTATGGTTACATGGACATTACAGTTCGGCCAGCCTAACCCGCTGATTGTCCCAAAAAATACCTAAAATAGAATGACTAGAAGAAAAATAAAATACGATCAAACAAACATAAGTTGACATAAACAAGTGAACATCAAGTAATACAAGAAGGTTTCATGGCGTAATCATAAGGTTTACATAAGAAAATCGTAACGTTTACATAAGATATTCATAAGATTTACGTAAGGTATTCATAAGGTTTACATAAGATATTCATAAGATTTGCATAAGATATTCATAAGATTGGTATAAGGTATTCATAAGATTTACATAAGGTATTCATAAGATTTGTATAAGGTATTCATACGGTTTGCATAAGGTTTGCATAAGATATTCATAAGGTTTGCATAAGGTATTCATAAGATTTTCATAAGATTTTCATAAGGTATTCATAACTAGCAAGGGGGTATTTTGCTATTATTATATTGATAACTTAAAGAGATTAAAAGATACATCTTTACCATCAATAAAACTTTTTTTATAATGAATTAAATGATGAAACTATTAGTGATGCTCGTGCCTCGGCTCATGCACAGTTTGGTCAACTTTTGAAATTCAAAATTTAGGAGACTACTCAGACATATTTGAAAACATATGTTCTACTATTAGCATATATTTTCAAACAATTTAGAAAAAATGCCATCATAGGTATGGGCTTAATCCAGCATGGTATTATACCATGCCTGGATATACCTGGGACTGTATGCTTAAATATACGAAATGTAAGTTACAACTTTTAACAGATATTGACATGATAATGTTTATAGAAAAAGCGATTTGAGGTGGAATATCTGTTTGCAGCAAACGATTTTCAAAAGCAAACAACATATATATCTAAATAACACCGAAAAAATTAAAGGGGTGATTCTGTGATGAAAATTAATGTGAGTGTGGTATAAATTTTTTTGAAAAAACCCTCCCCGGAAAAGTTACACCCCTTCGAAAATTTAAAAAATAATGGTTTTTCTTTTTTATTTTCCCTGTATATCAAGCTAAAGACACGAAACTTGGTAAACATTATCTGTCAATAAAAGTATACTTTTTGAAATTTTTTCAACCCTGAAGTATGCTTAGAAGGGGTTGAAATAATCAACCCCTAAGATATTTTTTCTTACAACTTTTTTTTAGATGAAAATTTTTTCTTTAAAAAAGTATGACTGAAAAGCCCAATTCATTGACTAACTTTTTTAACTCTACAAGTTTTTTCTAAAACTTGAGCATTTACGAGAAAAAAAATCTAATGCAATGCATTTTCAAAAAGAGGAGCTAACGCGAGTGTATTTTGCGTCAAGTCTAGTGGCCTGTGCTTTGCATAAAAACATTAATACTGATACCAGGATTGTGTAGTGTCATTTTCTCTTACCCATCTTATTGTTTCACAAGTTTTATGATTGTGTATTGTAGGAAATATTAGTTGATTGAAAATATGAATGCATATTCGAATTTGGAAATGGCAGATATGCATTTTACATACGGTCGTGCTAACGGTAATTCATTGGAAGCGCAAAGACTTTATGCTGAACAGTACCCACAGCGTAGACTACCCCATCATACTACGTTCACAACTATTCACCGACGCTTGCGGGAACGTGGTAATTTTGAAAAAAGAAATTACAATTCTGGTCGTACTAGAGAAGTTAGAACTGCAGCTGTAGAAGAAGCCGTACTTAATTCAATTGAAGAATTCCCAGAAACTAGTACCAGGAGAATAGCTCGTGTCCTACATGTAAGCCATTCCGTTGTTTTTAGAATTTTAAAAGATCAAATGTTGTATCCCTATCATCTTCAACGGGTGCAGGCGTTAATGATTCGAGATTTTTACCCCGTGTGATTTTTTGTCAGGGGCTTATTAATATGATTGGCCAAGCACCACAGTTCTTAGGTAATATTTTATTTACTGACGAGGCGAGTTTCTCAAGAGACTGTATTAGAAATTTTCACAACAATCACCTTTGGGCTGACGAAAATCCTCATGGCTTTTTTGAAGGAAATCATCAGTATCAATTTTCATTAAACGTGTGGCTCGGAATTATTGATAATCATTTAATTGGTCCCCATTTTCTTCCGCTACGATTAAATGGTGAAGCATATTGTCATCTCCTTGAAGAATTACCTGTTCTTCTTGAAGAGGTTCCCATTCAAATTAGGCAACATTTATGGTTTATGCACGATGGTGCACCAGCTCATTTCAGTATACGTGCAAGAACTCACCTGGATGAGGTGTATGCCAATCAATGGATAGGTCGAGGAGGACCTGTAAACTGGCCAGCCCGCTCCCCTGACCTTATTCCTTTGGATTTTTGCATATGGGGATATCTGAAATCTTTGATATACACAAACCCAGTTGAAAATATCGATGATCTGCAAAACCGCATTGTAGCAAGTACTTAATGTGCTTAGATATTAATAACTTGTATGGGTGGGCTATATGCGAACCCCTATCATACAATGGATTCAGATGGGTAGATGATATTACTAATTTTGATCCTATGACAATACCAGATGATTCTGAAGATGGATATATCCTTCAAGTTGATTTGGAATTTCCGCGTAAATTACATGATTTGCATAAGGATTTTCCATTTACTGCTGAACATCGTAAACCACCAGGATCAAAGTTAAATAAATTGATGACTACAATTCATGATAAATCAGGATATACAATACATTATCATAATTTAAAGCAGGCTTTAGCTAACGGTTTAGTGTTAAAAAAAAATACATAAAATTTTGACATTTAAACAATCAACTTGGTTAAAACCTTATATCGAGTTAAATACTCAACTAAGAGCTGCAGCTACAAATTATTTTGAAAAAAATATTTATAAACTAGCTAATAATGCAGTGTTTGGTAAGACAATGGAGAATATTCAAAAATATCGTGTAGGTAAACTCGTTAATTCATGAAATGCCGTTATGAAGCTAAAAAACTTGATATTAAGTTTTAGATTCCATATTTGGACAATTTTCGATGATGATTTAGTCGCTATTGAATTAAGAAAACTCAAATAATTTTTAATAAACCTCTGTATGTGGAATGGCAATTTTAGATCTTTTAAAATTATGTACGTACGATTTTCATTACAAATATTAGGTGCTGAAAAATGTAAATTAATATACATGGATACAGCTAGTTTTATTTATGAATTACAATGTGATGATGCGTATAATGAAATTATAAAAGCTGATTTACCAAAAATTTGATAATTCTGAATATTGTATAATATTCCTCAAGTTCTAGGATTAATGAAAGATGAAGCTAAAGGGAAAATAATTACACATTTCGTAGGTTTACATACAAAAATGTATACTTATAAGGTTCAATGTGGTAAAATTGTTAAAAAATCAAAAGGAATTAAGTACAATGTTGTAAAAAATAAAATTAGTGTTAATGATTATGTGGATTCCTTAAACGATTTAAAGAGCAAACGAAATCTCAACGCTGCATTCGGTCTTATGCTCATAATGTATTTAGCATTGAACAAACAAAAATTTCTTTAAGTCCTTAAGGTAATAAGCGGTATTTAATACAAGATACTTTTGATACTCTTCCTTGGGGTCATCATGAAATTCTTCAAGTATTTTTATTTTTGTTACAGATGCAAACATTAAGAGAATTATCAATAAAAGCAATTTGCGAAAACATCAATAGTGCTGCTGATTTTTTAGAGTATTCTCCATTAACTTCGACATCTTGGACATTAACAAGAGAAGTTATTCAAAAATTTTCTAATTGAAGACATGAGTGGATAAAGTTTCTATGTACATTTTTTTAAATCGATGTTTTTGCATAAATGAAGGGCCTATATACCTAAAATTCATTATAACTGATCTGTTATAATATTCTTTCAAATAAAAATGTTACCAGGGGATATAGAATCTTTGTTATATGGTGAATTATTCAAATAAGAAACTTTAAACTCAAATATCTCTAAATTATGTTTTTGTTACATAGGCCCTTCATCCACTTATGTCTTCAATAATAAATGGTTATGCATTAATAATTTAGCTCAAAACGATAAGAATCGTAAAAGAAAAAGTTTAAAATTGATTCATTTAAGTAAAATTATTTATCCTTCTGAAAGAAATGCTGTACTTACACTTGCATGTAATGATTGGGAAGGCCAGAACATTTTTGAAGAAGGTGAAGATTGTGTATGTTTGTGGGTTAATTATTACAGACTCAAAAATTATGACATAAAAATATGTAAAACATGTTTTGATATTTTTATATTGTCTCATAAATATTTAATAAAATATCTAATAGCTGTAAGACATCTGATGCGGCTAAAGGGGGTGAAAGTTATACTCGGATAGCTCAAACAGACTCACCTTGTGTTTCTCTACAAATTGATCGGGAATCAGCCGTTCGGGTGCCCATACACTTCACGTTGTCTAGCGGTATACTCGATATAAACGGTGCAAATAGTAATTAGCGACTGCCGGCTGGACACTGTACACACTGTGTACTTATCACAAGCTACCGAGCCGGCTTGAGCATAAAAATACGCGAAAAACTAGACTTTATTAAAAGGTACAATATTTTAGCCGCAACAACATCGCTATTCCTAACTAAAGTTTATCAAAATGAATTATTTTGGTGTAACAGCTGTTTCGCTGAAGTATTCATCAAAAAGTATAAAGACGAAGGTTGATAGGTTTTGAAGACGATTCTGAAAAATTTTAGCGTAGTGGGTTAAACAACACTTTCTCTCTATTGTATTTTAAAAACTTCTCTTTTGTTTTCTTCTATTATATATAACATTATTAAATAAAAAATTATTTTAAATTAATTTACGATTTTCATTTCTGTTTTCATGATAAATACAACCTCTTTTCTTTAAAAACTATTCTACTCAAAATAATAATAAGTACATTTAAAACTTTATTCATTTAATTTTTTAATTACATCATTCTACGATAAATAATTTACGCCCATATGCACCGTTTTAAAATTTAATCCAGATTTGCAGATCTCGTTTAAAGGACTAGTGGTTATTTTCTATGCACCGGCTACGGATTAGATAATCTAGTTTAGTAATCTGACAACACTGGATTTCTATAAATTTTACAAAAATCAGAAGAAGAAAACTTCAGATTTGGACAGGAGAAATGTATGTCAAAGGATAAGAGGCCGTTGAAGATAGAAGTCCTATTTTTTAAATGTACCAAAATCGTAAACACACCGTAAAACGCATACCGAATTTTACACAAAAGAATGTCAAATGAATTTAAAAAAAAATAATTCTATAGTTGGATGGCAAAACCATTAAGTTCATTTTTGGTAATTTTAACATATATACATACAAAGTGCTTTATTTCAAGCTTTTCTATGCAAAACGATATACCTATATGAATACTTTCTCTACACTGTGCATGTTCAAAACTATATGGATTTAACATATCAGTATTTAAAAGTGGACAAAATCAGATAAATATTATATGTATTGCTTACTTATTTTTACCTTTTCCAACATATCTGGGTTTGCCATCTAACTACAGAATTATGATGTAACGTTAGAATGTAAAAAATCTCTCAAAAATGATAAAGTTGCCCATCGTATAAACATATTCACTTCTCTCGTAATTTTGTCTAGAATCTTTGTCATCTTCCAAGAAAAGCTGGTATTCTATTTGTTTTTTATTAAAATTCAAATAAAATAAATAAACGCAAATAGACAGTTCCAAATATACTGACAAACCGTTGACATCTTTTTGACGTAAGAAAATCTCGATTAACAATTTGATCCTCCGATATTGACGGATTAGAATAAAATCGGATTAAGAATGATTTTTATTACGGTGCATAGCTAAAACTGGTACTAAACGTGATTAAACCCTTAATCTGGATTAAACGTCTACGGTGCATACGGGCGTTAATCATCAAATGGATTTTACAGACATTACATCAATCAAAATAGAAATTATGTGTCGTGACATATTTGACAGCTTACGCAAAAAGGAGATGCATATTTACAAACGGGTTGAAAGTAGATATATATTCATACATGGGTGGAAAGTAGATTCTTATACACACGCGTGTGATATAGGGCACTATCCAAAAGACTAAATATTGGAATAGGTGCCACTTTCTTGAGTTGCAGGAAACATAATTTTTAGGAAAGTGTTTAAATGTGCATAGGTATATTTTTTTAATAACCAATTTGTTTAATATCAGTATTTATTTTTTCATTAATATTATAGTTAAATAAATAATACAAAAGTAGGTAGGTAAATCCATTTTTTTAAATTTAATATGTTCGCTACGAACGCTTAAAATCGAAATGCTCATCTGTCGTGGACATGTCGTCGACAGGCTCCGCAAACAAAACGTTTGTGGTGTTATTTAACTGTTGCAGCAACGTTGGAATTCGTACGGTATTTTCCTGTTATTTTTTCATTCAATCTATCAATGATGAACTAACATGTTGCTTTTTATCCAACGTTGCTACAATCGATCAGTTCAATTTATGATTTTTCTGATTAGATGTGACAACTGACAGGTGAATTGCGAGAATTAAGAAGTTAATTATTTAAATGTTCTATTGTGGGGAAAACAAAAAAATGGGCTTTTAAAAATACTTTTAAATTAAGGTATATGCAGGGTATTTCACAACTTATCCGACAAATTTTAACCATATATACAGTGTTACATAAGAAGTCGATTACATAAAAAAAATAAAAGTCAAACAGAAAATGAGATAAAAAATAAAACACTTTATTATGATGGTGGGTGAGGTTTTCCGGGGTTTCCTCACTTGTAAGTCAAATGGCGCCATCAGTCATCTTTAGGTCGTCCCGGAGAGCCACGGCAAATCATAATAATAATAACCATCCCTTCCCCTACACAAGTCATTCTGTTGGCTTCAGGGTTTGAAATTCACTCGTAATGGGGGTGAATTAGGAAGAGTATTATTATTTTCTTTTTACAAAAGCTTCAACGCAAGCTTGGGCCCTTCGAATCCAATTTCGGCGTACTAACTGAAATACTCCTCCTTGTTGTTCACGAAGATTATCGGCAGTTGTTGCGATCCGGACACGCAATTCAATAGCTTGAACTGGGGTACGGTATACCTCGTTTTTTAAGTGTTCCCATAAAAATAAATCTAACGGATTAAGATGGGGACACCGCAGAGTCCAAGCTATTGGTCCACCCTGTCCGATCCAGCGTAAATATTCGTCATACTTGGTTTAAAAAAAAACCGGTCTTTTAGACGAAAATGCGAAGGTGCCTCATCGTGGAGAAAACACATACGTAATCAGACCGCTAAGGGCACATCTTCAAGAAGGATCGGCAAATCTTGCCTAAGAAATTCCAAATATTGGCGATCATCAATTCTACAATTTTAATTTGTTGTTTTGCACCTTATCCGACAATCTTAAAGCTGGATTTATAAACTTCGTTCGTGACATGGTATAGCACAAGTAGAAGTTGAAAAGGCTTTTGCCAGTTCTCCCATTTTATACACATAAATTGACAGGTTTACGGCGGATCTCACCGAAGTGGACGCGATACATTGGCGTCCAAAATTATTTTATAGATGTTAATAACAATTTCGAGTAAATAGTTTAATAAATTGTGAATAGCTGTTGAAATTTTGTAAAATTTGATTTGAATATTATAATACATGTTTAATAATTATTTATAGTCCATAAATATATGCGATTGTCCAGTTCCCCCGGTAACAATTTAAAATTACTTATTCTATGAAACGACACAAACATTACTGCGAAATTTTCGAAGCCGTTCGACTTGGTTTGACGTTTACCCCCTCTCTACCTACCAAAAGCCTTTCCAACTTCTACTTGCGCTATAGGTTTGTTTTGAATACGAAATTATAATGAATTTATAAATATTTTATAATC